TTGCATCATCCTCTTTTGGCGATATGTTTTACTGTTTTCTGTTACCTCAGACCTAACTATAAATATTCATCAATAACAAGTAAACAGTGAAAAGAACTCTGTTTTCAAAGCAGAAACAAGAAAATAGTTAGTAGGAAACCAAGAAAAATAATAAAAATGTTTTTTGAAAAAAAGCCATGCTATCTTGCCCACAATATACTTTAATTATAGTTTTATTGAGGGCTTTGCCAGATAATAGGACTTCATCAAACCAATGACGGATTCAAGATTATTATTACGGGAGTGCAAAAGTATGTTTGGGGTGCAAATCTTTATATATTTTAATTACTTTAAATTTTCTAATATAATATATGATATTTTTCAATTTTTTAGGGATGCGGTCACCCCCACCCTCACCCCCCTGATCTGTCATTGCTTCAAACTAAAGGCATCAAAGATTGCAGCATCCATGCTTGCACTGCCAAGAACTTTAAGAAGTTAAATGATGGCGAAATTATATGGTTTCTTTTACATTCTTGACAAGTATAATGCAAGCTTAATCTTCAAATCAAATCAAAAGGAAAACTTCTACAAGGGTCAAAAGAATCCAAGTTTAGCTGCATATGAAGTACTAAAAACCCCACCTTTGTTGATAACTACATATACAACTGAATCAAAAAAAAAATGGAGCTAACAAACCAAAAGTTTGAATAAACTAGCATTTACTGTCTAAATAAATAAATAAATAAAAGAAGAAGAAGAACAAACTAGTATTTACATTGCTATTGATATCTAACTTTGACCAATGTATTTTGTAGTTCTCAAAAAAGCCAAAATTTCCAGCAATATATCAGAAACAAGAAGCTAAAAACTTATTAAATGTACACTTGAATTTTGTCTGCTCTTCCTAATCTTCCCTGTTTCATTCAAAGTTAGTGTTTTTCCTCCTCAACATTACCCTCTTCAGTCAGAAGCTTTTGCATATCACGAGACTTTGCTTGGCCGACCAAGATTTCATTTCCTTCCCCAAGTAAAACCAAGCTAGGAATGTAGGCATGCACACAACCTAATAAATGAACATCATTAAGCCCAAGATCCCTGGGTCATTGATTCTTGGGATTATATACAATCAATCCATTCCTTGAAGACAAAACAACTTCACCATTTCTCCTCAAGAAAAGTACCTCTCACATTCCCACCATATCAATGGTGTATAGTTTGGTCCAAGACTCTACCTTACCATACTCCTTCATCACCCATACAAAACATTTACTTGAAGAAATGTGAGGCTCATGGAACACAATAATTGACTTCCTAAATTTTGCAATAGACAATGTTAAAGGATTTACTTTAACAAGACTTTCCAGCATATTCAACTCTCCAAATACCTCATCTCTCAAATCAAATGACAAAATCAAAGCATTAGATATATTCTTATCAACCGCGACCAATTGATGGTTCCATTAACGAAAGCTTGCGATGAATTATAATGTACGAGGCGCATAGGCGCAACAACACGAATGTCTCTCCAAAAACCCAAACGAAGCGAGTAAATCTCAACCAAAGGGGGCTTTTTCAAGCGAAAATGATCAGGACCCTCTTCAAAATAGGTCAATTTCAACACCTTATAGTCTATAGTTTTGGGATCAAACCCAAATCCAATAATATGACTATTGAGTTTGACACATTGGTGGACCCAAAAATACAACATTTATTGATAACACTCTAAAACACAAAACACTTGTACACAATTACATACTAATACACTTCACTTATCCATTCACACATACATTCAAGCACTCACACTTTGTGTCTTCCTCACACAAGACCTTGAAACACCTCACACTATATAGTGCTTGACCACTCACTTTGGACTAATTCTTCTTTCACTCAATTGTCCAATTGTCCAATTGTCCAATTGCTTAGTACATATACTCATCTCATATTTATACTAGTTAAAGAACTTTTTAGAATACACTCATACTTACCCTACACTCTAGAACAATCTATATTACTCTAGTACATATTAGAGCTTTCTATTCTTCTCTAAAATATTCTAGAACCTTCCAGGACTTTCTAGATTTCTCTAATTTTCTCCAAACTTCTTTAATGTTCCGGAACCTTCTAGGATATTCTAGAATCTTCCGGATCTCTCTTGGTCTTTCCAGAATCGTCTAGATCTTTCCGGAGTATTCTAAATTCATATGGAAACTTCTCGAATATTCTAGAGAGAAGATTCTAGAGAGTGAGGAGAGATAGTGATGACTCTCAATAATGACTAGCAGGACCACGAAGCCATTAAGTTGAAATTCTTGGCAATGGAAGAGTCAGTGACTTGTTGATAATGGGGTTTCACAAAATCACATTGTTCATAATACAATACAAATCATCTGAAAGACATACCAAACCATTACAAGAACTAACAATTCAAAAAGATTTATTGAAACCATGAAAAGGGAAATGAAGCTCAAAGTGATGCGAATCGAGTGGGTCATCATTGTTACTCCAATGTATGGTATAGTGGTCTTGATGATGGATTTCGATGTCGGCTAAGTGTCTGATGAGTAGAGAATGAGTGTTGTTAGATTCGGAAACAAAAAGGGCTCGATTGAGGTATGTGTTGATGAAATTAGGGCAAGTGATTAGAGAACACCATGATTTGGAAACGCACCTGAATTGAACGACAGTGTAGATTGGTAGTCTTAGGAGTATTTCAATCAACAGTTCCTCTTGTAGATTGTCCGGCATGGTTCGAGTTGGAGATTGAGATTTCTTGGAGCTTCTTGAGAGAGAGAGAGAGAGAAAGAGAGAGAGAGAGAGCTTCTTGAATGGGAGAGAGAACAAAGATATGGATAGAGAGGGAAATGTATTTTCGTATGAGTAATGCTACGACCCCAAACAATCTACCAAATGTTTTACTAAATCTCTTTCATGGGTATAGAACCCACACACATGTAGATTTGTGTGGGTTCCATACTCATATGAGAAATTTGATAAAACATTTGATAAATTATTTGGGCTTCATAGCATTTTCCTTTTCGTATCCCTCCTATTGCATTGACTTTTGTTTTTGGGTAGCAGTCGTTTTTTTTTTTTTTGGTTAATGGGTGGGGGTCATTTGGGAGTTGAGATTTTAGTAACCCTTTTGATATTTTTTTTGGGGAGGTTGTTGAATGTTGAGTTAAAAGATTTCGGCTGTGTTTGGAGAAGCTCTCCAAACACATTTTCACCCCTTATTTTGAATGTGTTATTTGTTTAGAGTTTTCAAAAATTAATTCCACACACTTTTAAAAACTTGTTCCAAGGCGAAAAAATTTGGGCTAATCGGTTTTCCTCCCGGACGTCTGACCGGTTGACCGGAACAGTGCTTCTTTTTTTTTTTCTTTTTTTTACAATTGGCGCCTATTATTTTTTATATTTTTTTAAATAAAAAAATTCAGAATATTTTAAAAAAAATTTATGAGCTTTGAATAAAAAAATTTATCAAATTTTTTTTTTTATGAAACGCTACCTTCATTTAACTCACTCACTCGCTCACTCACTCAATTTTTTTTTTCTTTTTTTACTTTTTAGTAAAAAATAAAAAAATAAAAAATCATTCCAAACATATTTTTTTCATCTCATATTTTAATTAAAAAAAATTTATTCCCAAACGATTCCTAAATTATTCTTACCTCTTCTAAAAAAAAAAGATCAATTAGTCTTATAATTTTGATATAATTACATTTATTTATTTTTTTATAAGACTAAAGCAACAAAAAAATATTTAATGTAGATATTTGATATACATTGAAATAAATAAATAAGATCTGCATATTAACATAATTACATTATACCAAGGGGAAAGACTATTACACACCCGGGTGAATACCATATGCACTTAAAACTATAGAAGAAAAATATATAATTTCATATTTTCTGAGTCATAACTAAAAAACTATAAAAAAACAAAAAAAAAACTTCATAACCAAATACAAAAAAATCGTAACCAAGATTTTAAAATAATATCATAATTAAAGAAGAAAATTGATCATAATTAAAGAAAAAAATAACATAATTAAAAATGCATATAATATGGAGTGTGTATAATAGAATTTTCTTGCGTCACGTCTTTTCAACTCTTTCACCGGTGGCAATTTTGGAAGGTTCAATTCAGCTATTGCCATCCGTGGTCATGATTCATTATCGCATCTCCGTTGTCACTACTTCCTTAATTTTGTATTGTGTTTTTGCCATTTGGTCGGCTCCAAAATTATCAACAACCTTTTTCTTCGTCATGCTCAAATCATTAGTAATTCGGTTGTCTAGTTCTAAATACTTCTTATTTGTAAGAATTAAGGTGACAGTTTCGTGCTGCTTTTCGAGTTCTTCAATGTCATTGTTTCCACCCAATGTTGTCTCTTTTTTCTAGGTTTCCCTCCATTCTTTTTCTTTTTCTTTCCCTCAATGAGTTTCAGATTTGTAAATTTCTTCAAGATATTTGCTTCTGGGTTGTGTAAATTTTTTTGGTTCTGTATTTAACAAGAACATATCATTACTTGAATTATCTATATGTAACTGTGCAAGTTAGTTGTCCAAACTTAAATCATACTAGAATTTATAACTTGGGAGTGTAACCTGACAAGAAAAAATAAAAAGTAAAGGGAAAGAATGAGAAATTGGCACCGGATTCTTTTAGCCCATGTTTGTTAAGCCTCTTAAATGGTGGGATTAAAAAAAGGGTGTGGTAACTATCGAATTGCTAATCCCATTTCTTATATAATGAGATCTTTTACATAAATAAACGCAATTTATCTTATATGTCTAACCTAATACCACTATTCTAATAATCTCATCACTCTTTCAATCTTGGAGATTAAACTTTTATGCATTTATTTCTTGTTAATTACTCTGCTTTACCACTGAAACCAAACTGACTACTCACCAGCAGAATATAACTCAAGGAAAGGGATCCACAGAGGATAAAGGATGCTTCAGTTATACTATTGTGACTCTATCACAAGTTCAGAGAAAACCCGATCACTAGTCCAACGATAATACATAAATTAATAAAAGTTTTACAAGGTTTTACACATAAAATGAAATAAAAGGTGGCCTAAGTCTCTGTTCTACAGAGAATAGAAAAAAGGGTGAGGCATCAAAAAAACAAAAACTAACTCTGTGGATGCAGGAGCTGCCGACAGTCCCACAGCAAAGCTTTCTTCACCCGTTTCTTGGTCCTATTTCCTGCAAAGATCATGTATATTCAACAATAAAATGCAAGAAAATTGTCACGCAAAGAAACCATAATTACCAAATTCAATATGATTTGGAGTAATTGTACATTGTCTACAAAGTCTATTTATTTTCCAAATTAAAAGTTTCGTTCCAGTTTAATTAAATTTCTAGAATATATTGAACTTCTCTTTACCTATAATTCCTATCATTTTAACAATGAGAACTATCAAAAGTTTCGAAAGATTTCACTGTGAATTCCCTTTCGGAAATTCCTATCATTTTCATCGTAACTTTCTAAGAGCATCCATACCAAACTCTTTAATTTTTTAGTCAAATTAAAGTTATTTCATTATTTTAGCACTTATTGCATCAAACTCTTTATTCTAACTTATTCTTATTAAATATTATTTTCTTATTGTATTTGTTAGTCTTTCTTTTTTTATTAAATTAATAAGTTACCAGCCAAATAATTCTTAAAAATAAATAAATTAATTAATTAAAAAAAAATTTGCCGTTGATCGGTTGACCGGCTGGACTTTCGACCAGACATCCGGTAACACGCAAGTAGTAATGAATAGTGCCTCGCTTGCTTTAACGAGTTACTGTAGCGCTCTTAAATTTTAACGAGCTGCAAGAGAGTTTGATGCGGTTAATTTTTTAAAGTTTTTAGCTAAAAAACGAATTTGAAGAGCTTGATGCAGATGCTCTTAGTGACCACAAAATTGCAATAGTACTAATAATGGATTTAATTATCCCGCACACAGATTCCAATATTTTGGCAAATATGATGCAGTCATCTTCAAGCATCAAATGAAAAGATTCAAAATCGAACTCTTTCAATGTTTAAAAGCTACATGAGTTGCAGCAGGATTTTGATGTTCAAGTTCCAAGCTAGAGCTTCAGCAAATAAATATAATTTCACAAACTAGAAACTTTCCTTTATCTAAGGCCTCGTTTGGCAACCTTCCCTTTTAGCCAAAAATTCAAAAAGTTACTAAATTAACCAAAAAGCCAACAACCCATACCAAAAAGTCAAAGATTCTCTTTTCTCTCTACTTTTTGCACATCTTTTCGTAAAAAGCCAAAAAGTTATCCCAAACATACTAGTTTTTTTTAACTCATAAATAGCCAAAAAGTTACTAAATTAGCCTGTTCCCAAACGAGGCCTAATTCCTTTAAAAATCAAGGCTGCGTTTGGTAGCGATTTCTAAATATGTTTGGTAGCGATATCTAAATATGATTTGAGAGTAAGAGTTGTATTTTGAGTTTATGAATTTTGAAATTATGATTTGAATGTGAAAATTTTGTTTGGTAAAAGAGTTTTGAAAAAAATTTTGAATTGAGTGGAGAATTTTTATGTGACATATGATATTTCATACAAAAACTTACAACTCATAACCAAATACACAACTCAAAATTCTATTAAAACTCATAAAAAAATTTTAAAAATTCAGAAAATATTTTTTTTCGAATATATAAAAATTAACGTGTCAATTGCAAAAAAAAAAAAAAAAAAAAAAAAAAAAAAAAACATTGTTCTGGTCAACTGGCTGGATTTCCCTCATTCGACCGAGTTTTCAAAATTAAATGTGGAATTAACTTTTGAAAATCGTAAACAAACGTCATGTGCAAAATGAGCCCTAGAACTAACGTTCCAGAGCTGTAACAAACACACTGTAGATCTTTCCACAAGAATCCCATAAATTGCAAGAACTAGGTTGAGAAACATTTCCCGACTATCCAATCCAAATTATCACAAATAAAAATTTCTAAGGACCAATCTAAAAATTATCATTCAAGATGTTAGAAGGTTTTTTTATTAAATAGTGAGCAAGTCAGCGTTATATCTCAGTTTTTAGCAAGTCAGCATTATATCTCTTTTTTTTTTTTTTTTTTGTGGGTGGGGGGGAGATAAATCTCAGTTATACATCTCAGTTATACGCCAATCTCTCCAGTTGGGAAAAAGTTTCATTGGAAAGAAGGGTTAATTTTAAAAAAAAAAACAGGTCTGATTGCACTGAAAAAGGTGTTTGAAATAATTTTTAAAAATTAAGTAGCAGATAAGAATTGGTTCAAAATCGTTTCATAATCCTAGAATGTAGAATATGAGCGCTAAAATTACATTCATGTTTTGCTATTTGCATTAGAAAACAAACGGAGCAAAGGTGTATTTGGGTTCCCTTCAAAAAATTCCACTGTGGAGAACATGACAATTTTGAGTAACCAAAGCCCCGTATCTTCATGAAGCAAGCCACTGGTTTTTTTAACCGCGGATCATAATTGTCTAATTCTCAATGCTTATCATGAAAACCACCACCCCCACCAAACAGGGCTAATCTAGTCAATATAAATTCAACCACCCAAGAAACAGATTGCAGTGACAATAACATCATCATAGATATAAATGGTAAAGTAATACTTCAAACATAGAATCTATAGGAAGACAAATGTCCCAAAAGTATAAAAATATCAGAGTTGAACACATATTTCTTGAAAGAAGACTTCACTACATTTATATCTAGTTAAAGACTATATGCAAACAGGTAACTAATAAAGGAATGGCTTACCACAATACCTCCACTTCTAACATTTTCCCATTCCCGCCTTTCCCGGCTTCCTAGTCCTGAGCTTGAGCTTCCGTCGTAGCCACAACCCTAAGACACAAGAGACTACACACAAGAAACGAAACCGAAGTTAAAAGAAACTATTACTCACAACGGAGCTACTGATGTCAATTTGCACAAACTGAACTTTTTCTCCTAAAACATAATTCATGCATACTCAGTCATTGCAATGGGTTAGCAGCATTTAAAAGATGTTGCCTTGATTCAACATAATGTTTTGGTGTTCAAAAGTATACGTAAGTCTATTCCACATCCATAACATGAACAAAAAGCAACAGCTAATGTAAGCTATAAAACAAGTAAGAATCATATCTCGCCTTTTGTTCCCATTAAAAATGTACGTTGCCTGTTCTTCCTTTTCTTTGTTGCTGTTCTTTTTTGTTCGGTTTCCTTAACAAATTCATGCCTCCCTGAGAGTCCGTTCGACCCGCTGACTAAGACCAGGCTCTCAACATAAGTATCCACATAAAACAAGTAGCCAATACCATGGATCCCATGATTCTTCTTTTCTTTTGTTTCGGGGTCATAAGACACCAAATTTCCACTACTTACCAACAAGACTTCACTGTTCTTCCTAAACCCAATAACTGGCCCCAAACTTTCCTGATAATCGATGATAGCAAATAGTTTAGTCCACGACTCAACTACACCATACTTTTCCATCACCCACATGTCATATCCTTTGTTAGCACTAGACGAAGCATGATGCATCACACAAAGTGATTCCCCAAATACGTTGATCTCCAAGTTTGCCCAGCACTGGGCAGCCAAGCTATCTGGTAGAAAAACCCGCCGGAACAGCTCATCACACATATTGAAAGTCACAATCAAACTGCAGTGAAAACTTCCATTTGTTTCCCGATCATATGCAATCCAATGCACAGCCCCATTGATATAAACCTGTGGTGATCGCTCAGGAATAATGCTTTGAAGACCACAATAACTAATGCTTTGCCAACATCCCCTGCTGAGCGAGTAAAGCTCAACCTCGGGTGGAACAATGTCAAAACCATCACCATCTTCGACATAGGTAACCCTAACTACTTTACATTCATGATTGATTGAATCAAACCCAAACCCAATTGAATGCATAAAAGGGCCATGGGTTTGAAAAACAACACTGGGTCTTGGGAGGTTAAAAGATTTTCTAATTGATGGGTTCCATAAAATGATGGTGTGTACATAGCACATGTGATCATCAGACAAGCAAACCACACCATTGCAACTACCCACAATCCTGAAATACGAATTTACGCTATGAAATGGAAAATCAAGCTCAGCATAGTCATCGAGTGTGGGATTGTCATGGTGTATTGAGAAATGCTCTTTCCTAGGACGCTCAGAGCAATGTCTAAGCAGTAATAATGGTGGGTCTTGTTGTTTGTTTCGATTGAGGTGTGTGGAAATGAAACTAGGGCTAGTGATGAGAGAGTACCATGATTTGCAGACACTTGTGCATCGAAGGAGGGTCTTGATGGGGAGTGTTGAGAGGATGTTATCAATCCACACTTCTTCGGGTAGATAGTCCGACATTACTTCTTCTTCCTCCCTTTTTGTTTGCACACACAGATGATGCGAGGAAACTTCTTCGATCTTGGTTTATTAGGGCTGGTTTGGCGGCAAAATGTTTTTATTAGGCTGTGTTTGGTTCGGATTTGGAAGTAGATAAAATATAAATAAAATATAGAAAATTTACCCATAAGCCCTAGTTTCTGAAAAGTTGAACCATTTAGTCCTAAAAATTTTCTTATGTTCCATTTAGTCCCATTTGCACATCAATCTAATGTTCGAAACATTATTCTGATGTTCGAAATCTAATATTCGAAACATTAATCTGATGTTTGAAACATTGTAATGGACCTTTCAGTCTATAAGAAAACTTTTAGGATTAAACAGTGTATAAGTTATAAATTTGGGATTTATTGGTGCATCCCCCATAAAATATATGTATATTTTATTTAATTTTACATATTTTTTCATTTTTATTTTTTCTTTTCAATCCCTTCAAAATCCCAATCAAACATAGTTTTTTTCTTTTGTTGTAAGTTTTTCCAAAAAGAAAAGTAATTTTCTGATTCTATTAGGAATTTTTTAATTTTGAAATATTTGAAAGAATTTATCTTTAATAAACAAATCACTCTGTTTGGTTTCACTTTTCAAAAAATTTTATTTTTTCGTCTTTTGTATTTTTTGATTGAATTAATTTTTTAATATTTTAAGTGAATTTTTAATTTTTAGACACACCTAATATAAATATGCTTGGAAAATATAATATTTGTGAAAAAATCTTTAAAAAATTCACTAAATATCAAAAATATTTAAAAAAAATACAAAAATTTAATACATTTTTCAAATTTTTGTCTATTTATTAAATTTTTAAAATGTTTTTTCATAAATATTTTACTATTTAGATACATCTAAGTAAAGTTCATCTAAAAAAGTAAACAAATTATTTAAAATTTTAAAAATATTCACTAAAAATTTTATAAAAAAAAACACAAAAAAATAAAATAACTCAATTTCTAAAAAACTAAATTCAAAAAACTGAAACTAAACGCACTGAATAATTTTTCAAAATAGTTACTTTTTAAAATCTTTCTAGGGGAGGAAAAAGAAATTGACTTGGCAAGTTCAATTTGGGATTTTTTTATTTTTATTTTTTCACTAATAAAAAGATAAAATAGGTTAAAATAATCAATAAAATAAAATGTCATATAAAATCTATAAGTATTTTACTTTTTCTCTCATAAATATTACATCTAACTATAAAAAAAAAAATCCAACTCTCTTCTCAAACATAACAATTTTAACCTACTAAAATAATTAAAAATGAAAATAACTTACTAAAATAGCTAACTTCTCAAATGAAGCCAATAATATGGGTTGAGAGGAAGTCTCATATAATACAAGAAATGTTATGGGTGCACTACCCTACTATATACTATATGCACCTTATCATAAAATTTTATAAACATTAATTTTAAAATGCGCAACCTCATTACAAATTAACATAATAAAAAGTATTGCAACTAAATCACAAACTTTTTCAGCATCAATCACAAAATTATGAATATTTTGATATGTCAATTTTAGATAACATTACACATTTTATAATTGATATTATAAAATTTTATGATACAATTATATTGCATAATGTTACATATCTTTTACCATGTTCTAATGTCATGTTTGCGAAGCCTCTTAAAGAGTAGGATTGAATTAGCAATCTCATGGTCCCACGCTTGTGGGATTAGTATTCTCATGGCAGCTAATGATTCACAATTTAATCTTATGCTCTTATTTTATAAAAATAACAAAATTACATATAATATTTTTTTTTTTTACATAATTTCATAGATGCAATCCTAGTAAACTAATATGATTATAGGGCAAATTACACTTAATAGTCCCTATAGTTTGGAACTAATGTCACTTTGGTCCCTAACTTTTCAATTATGACGCATTTGACCTTCAATTTTGACTCTTGTTCAAAATAAGGATAATTGAATATATCATTGCTCAATTTCAAGGGTAAAGTTGTCAATTTGATAAAATAAAAACTAATTTGACAAAAATAAATGTCAAAAAAATATTTTTGAAATTTAAAAAATAACTTCTACCTACCAAAGATAAAATTATGTAAAATTGATAAATCTTTTAAACATTTATTTATTTATTTATTTATTCTTACCAAATTAATTTTTATTATGTGTTTAGATGATGATCATGTAATGGATGGTTGTTAGGTTTTTAATGTGTAATTGATATATTTAATACATGAAATATTTCTAGTTTTGGATTCTTTTGATTTAATAGATTGGTTTAATGATAATATCAAAGTTGTCTCTATATTTGACTTTTGGAGAAATAGAAACTAATTTAATGAAAACCACCCATTACATGATTATCATCTAAACATATAATTAAAATTAATCTGGTAAATAAATAAATAAATAAATGTCTAAAGAATTTATCAATTTTACATAATTTTATCTTTAGTAAGTAGAACTAATTTTTATAAATTCAAAAATATTTTTTTAACATTTATTTTTGTCAAATTAGTTTATATTTTATTAAATTGACAATTTTGCCCTTGAAATTGAGTAATGGTATCTTTAATTGTCCTTATGTAGAACAAGATTCAAAATTCAAGATCAAATATGTCACAATTAAAAAGTCCGAAACCAAAGTGACATAAGGTCTAAACTGTAGGAACTGCCAGTATAATACGCCACCATTATATTAGTGCACAAACTAATGTAAGCCACCATTCTAATAATATCATTACACAAACTGACTATACTTATAACCCACCAATCAAACATGGCCTTACAGGTAAAATATAGAACCAATTGTCTGCGCCATTAACTTACAAGCTTTGCAATACTCTTTTTCGATCTTGGAGATTAACCTTTTATACATTTCCTTCTTGTTAAATGCTCTGTTTTATCACTGAAACTAAACTGACTACTCCCCAACAGAATATAAATCAAGCAATGAGGATCCTCACGGGATAAAGGATGATTGTCATACTATTAGTTATGACTCCATCACAATTCCTAAGAAAACCCGATCACTACTCAAATGATAATGCAAAGATTAATGAAAGTTTAAGAGGTTTTATAAACCAAATTAAATAAAAGGAGGCCTTTCTAAGTCTGTGTTCTACAGGGAATACAAAAAGGGTGAGGCATCAAAAAAACAAAAGCTAACTCTGTGGAAGTTATGCAGGAACTGATGACTGTCCCGCAGAAGAGCTTTCCTCACCTGTTTCTTGGTCTGTCCCTGTGAAGATCATGTATCATTTGGATTGAATCAGATTCAACAATTAAGTGCAAAAAAAATTATATCATGCAAAGAAACTATAATTACCGAATATAATATGATTTTGAGTAATTCTACATTGTCTACAAAGACTAATTATTTTCCAAGTTAAGAGTTGCATTCTGGTTAAATTAAATTTCCTAGAATGCATTGAACTTCTCTTTACCTAAAATTCATAATTCCCATCATTTTAACAATAAGAACAATCAAAAGTTTCAAAACATTCTCTCTGACTTAACTTTTGGAAGTTCCTATCAAATGAATGATTTGAAAGCGAATTCTTTTAAGGTTCAAAAGCTCTACATGAGTTGCAGGAGGACTATTGATGCTCAAGTTCCAAGCTAGAGCTTCAGTAAATAAACATAATTTGAGAAACCTGACAGTTTCCTTTAAAAATTAAAACTTTCCACAGGGAATCCCATAAATTAAATTGCAAGAACTAGGTTGAGAAACATTTCACGACTATCCAATCCAAATTATTACAAACAAAACCAATCTAAAAATTACCATTTCAAGATGTTAGAAGTTCTTTCCATTAAATAGTGAACAAGTCAGCATCGAATCTGAGCTATAAACCAATCTCTCCAGCTGGGAGATAGTTACCTTGGATAGAAAAGATAATTTTACAAAAACAGGTCTGATTACAATGAAAAGGTGTATTGGTTCACAATCGTTTCATGATCCTAGAATGTAGAATACAAACACTAAATTACATTTATGTTTTTCAATTTCATTAGCAAACAAACGGCACAAGGATGTATATGGGCTCTCTCCAAAAAATCTCCACACTGAGAACACAACAATTTTGAGTAACCAAAGCCCCGTATGCATCTTCATAAAACTAGCCACAGGTTAATTAACTGCAGATCACAATTATCTAATTCTCAATGCTTATCATGAAAACCACCACCCCCACCAAACAGGGCTGATCTAGTAAATATAAATTCAGCCACCCAAGAAATAGATTGCAGTGACAATAACATCATCAAAGATATAAATGGTAAAGTAATACTTTCAACATAGAATCTACAGGATGACAAATGTACCAAAAGTATAAAAATATCAGAGTCGAATACATATTTCTTGAAAGAAGACTTCACTACATATATATCCAGTCCAAGACTATATGCAAACAGGTAACTAATAAAGGAATGGTTTTACCACAATGCCTCCACTTCTATCATTTTCCCACTCCCACCTTTCCCTGCTTCCTTGTCTTGACCTTGACCTTGACCTTGAGCTTTCGTCCTACCCAATACCCTAAGACACAAGACAATACACATAAGAAAAGAAATAATACCGAAGTTAAAAGAGCCTCCGTTTGGGAAGTGGGTTGGCTTTTTGGCTTTTTGTCTTTTTTGGCTATTTTAGCCTGGGCTAAAAAGCTTGGTTTGGGAAGGGCTTTTTGGCTTTTTGGCTTTTTTGACTTTTTTTGTGAGAGAAGAATGTAATGATTATGGGTTGGATGTGATGTTTTGTTTGTTATGGCTAAAATAGCCTATTTTGTTTTTTGTGGCTAAAATAGCCAAAAAAGCCTGAAAACCATCTTGCCAAACAGAGGCAGAAACTATTACTCCCAATGGAGCTACCAGCGCCAATTTCCGCAAACTGATCTTTTTCTCCTAAAACAAAATTTATGCATAGCCACTCAGTCGTAGCAATGGATTAGCAAGAAAAAAATGTTGCCTTGATTCAACATAAAGTTTTGGTGTTCAAAGTAGACATATGTCTATTTCAGGTACGAAACACAGAGAAAAGCAATAGCAGTAAACTAATCAAGAACGAGTAAGAATCTTAACTTGCCTTTTGTTCCCATTAAAAATGTATGTTGCCTGTTCTTCCTACTCTTTGTTGCTGTTCTTTTTTGTTCGGTTTCATTAACAGATCCATGCCTCCCTGAGAGTCCTTTCAACCCCCTGACTAATACCAGGCTCTCAACATAGAGCTTGACCTTGAGCTTTTGTTGTCCTACCCAAAACCCTAAGACACAAGACAATACACATAAGAAAAGAAATGATACCAAAGTTAAAAGAAACTATTACTCCCAATGGAGCTACCAGCGCCAATTTCCGCAAACTGATCTTTTTCTCCTAAAACAAAATTTATGCATAGCCACTCAGCCGTGGCAATGGATTAGCAAGAAAAAAATGTTGCCTTGATTCAACATAAAGTTTTAGTGTTCAAAGAAGACATATGTCTATTTCAGGTACGAAACACAGAGAAAAGCAATAGCAGTAAACTAATCAAGAACAAGAAATAATCTCAACTTGCGTTTAGTTCGCATTAAAAATGTATGTTGCCTGTTCTTCCTACTCTTTGCTGCTGTTCTTTTTTGTTCGGTTTCATTAACAAATTCATGCCTCGCTGAGAGTCCTTTCAACCCCCTGACTAATACCAGGCTCTCAACATAAGTAGCCACATAAAAGAAGCAGCCAACTCCATGGATACCGAGATTCTTTGTTTCTTTTGTTTTAAGGTCATAAGAAACCAAATTTTCACTTCTTTCCAACAAGACTTCACTGTTCTTCCTAAACCCAATGACCGGCCCCAAACTTTGCTGATAATCGACGATAGCAAATAGTTTCGTTCACGACTCAACCACACTATACTTTTCCATCACCCACATGTCATATGTTTGGTTAGAACCAGATAAAAAAACATCATGCATCACACAAAGTGATTCCCCAAATACATTGATCCCTATGTCTATCCGCACTGGGCAGCCAAGCTGTCTGGTAGAAAAATTTCCCAGAACAGCTCATCACACATATTAAAAGACACAATCAAACTGCGGCGAATACTGCCATTTGTTTTCCGATCATATGCAATCCAATGTACAGCCCCATTGATATAAACCTGTGGTAATCGCTCGGGAATAATGCTTTGAAGACCACAATAACTAATGCTTTGCCAACATCCCCTGCTGAGCGAGTAAAGCTCAACCTCGGGTGGAACAATGTCAAATCCATCATCATCTTCGGCATAGCCCTAACCACTTTACATTCATGATTGATTGAATCAAACCCAAACCCAATTGAATGCATAAAAGGGCCATGGGTTTGAAAAACAACACTGGGTCTTGGGAAAAGATTTTCTAATTGATGGGTTCCATAAAATGATGGTGTGTACATAGCACATGTGATCATCAGACAAGCAAACCACACCATTGCAACTACCCACAATCCTGAAATACCAATTTGCGCTATGAAATGGAAAATCAAGCTCAGCATAGTCATCGAGTGTGGGATTGTCATGGTGTATTGAGAAATGCTCTTTCCTAGGACGCTCAGAGCAATGTCTAAGCAGTAGTAATGGTGGGTCATGTTGTTTGTTTCGATTGAGGCGTGTGGAAATGAAACTAGGGCTGGGGATGAGAGAGTACCATGATTTGCAGACGCTTGTGCATCGAAGGAGGGTTTTGATGGATAGTGTTGGGAGGATATTACGAATCCACACTTCTTCAGGTAGATAGTCTGACATTTCTTCTTCTTCTTCACCTACCGTCTGCACACACAGATGAGAGAAACCTCTGCCTTACTTTATTAGGGCTAGATTGGCGCCAAAATGTTTATCATACGCTATGAAATGTTTATCAACCTCAAGCCATTTTTTTTCCTCCATGCACAGTGCAAAACTAAAAATTCACGTTGATCGAATATCGATAGCTATGTGATCAAATCAGTTTTGTATAAAAAAAAAAAAATAGACGGTGAATAAATTAACGATTGAAAAAAAATTGATTTGATCACATAGCTATCGATATCCGATCAACGTAATTTTTCACAAGCATATAGCACTCGAAGAGTTCTACATATTGAACGGTTTAGATTTTCAAAACGGAACCCGTGGTGGGTCCCCACGGGTCCAACAGCACGGCAGTTCGATGATGGACTGGACCAAAGCCAGACCCTTTTGGAAATTATTAGATAGTTTTGGGTGATCTTTAGTTTATCAAAAAGTTTAGGAGTGCATAGGGTAGAACATAGAAACTAAACACAAAAACTGTGCACTGGTCGTTTATTCGGACAATTGAATAGAGCTTGTCGATCGTAGCTATCATTGTGTCTTCCGGTCATCCTAGCAGTTGTTCGGGTGGACGACTGATGAACAATTTTTTGTGTTTGGCTTCTGTGTTCCACTCTCTATGCGTGTAGCATTGCTATTCGTTTATTAGACTAAAGTGGAATAAAAATTTATTCAATCAAAGGCTGTGTTTGGTGTGGAATTTTAAACATGATTCTACACTCATATTTGAGTGTGGTATTTGGATATAACTTTCAAAAATTGATTCCACACCCACTGGCGAAAACACATCTACTTAGTCATCCTTTCGGACGTCCAGCCGGTTGACTGAAACAATATTCGTGTTTTTTTTTTTTAATTTTTTTTACACTTGTTATTTTTATATTTTAAATAAAAAATATTTTCGAAATTTTTTAAATTTTTTATGAACTTTGAATAGAATTTTGGGCTGTGTGTTTGGTTATAAGTTGTAAGTTTTTTAATCAAATATCATGTGTCACATCAAAAATTTCAAATTCAATTTAAAACTCTTTTCAAAACGCATAACCAAACAAATTTTCTACACTCCAATCATAATTCCAAAACTCACAAACTCAAAATACAACTTTATTCTTAAATCATAATTCTAAAATTCTACCAAACACTACCTTTATTTTTATTTTTTATTTACTAAAACAACGGTAAAAAAATGCATTGTAATGAATCAACTGAAGTGTAAAATTATTATATGTCATTGCTTACATGGTGCTGGTACTCTTGACAAGTGAAAAGTTGCAATCTACACTAATTAAGTCATTCTTTGTCTCTCATTTATTTAATAAAGACGAGTTATTATGTTTCACTCATAAAAAATTTCACTACACTATTGATTTGGACTATCACATAAGCAATGTCGCATAATATTCTAGAAGTACTCGGCTATAATGGGAAAATTGATTCTTATACAAAATTTGTGACTATTATTTTTGTAAATAATACCCAAAAAAAAATATTATATTTTAAAAAATAAAACATATTTTTATGTATTTATTTAGAAAAATAATGAATTACCCCTTACCTCTACTTGTGTTGCCCCACCACCTCCACCTTCGCAACCCCACTACCCCCAACAACTATTACCATTAATATAACTATTAAAGTATTAGTTTTAAGGTCATAAGAGCATCTCCAATGGTTTACTATTGGAGATGCCAAAGCTATAATATAGCAAGTGTGAGGCAAAAGTAGTTCTCCAATGGCAAGTTTTAGCAGCTGTTAAATGTGCCAATTCACCAAAACCAACCATTTCCTCCTCTCCTTCCCTCATCCTTCTCAACAAAAACTTTCAAAACAGAAACAAAATTCACCAAAAAATAAAGCAACAAAATAATAAATTTTGAAGTTAAATTTCATAATTAGGCAGAATCGGACCCAAAAAAAAACCAATAAAAATTTTATATTTATTTTAGCAAATTTCAAGAATTTCAATAAAAAAAAATCTCAATGTCAAGCACAATTAGCATTTCCAAATTTGAAACAATCTCAAGCCAAAAAAATAATAATAAAAAAATGAAGCAAATTTATATTAAAAAATAGCTAGATTTGAAGATGCTTCAGCTTCATCTTCTTCATCTTCTATACTGATACCGACCCATCATAACAGCTTCCACTACTAGTCCAGCAGCACCTCCATCACACCGACCCATTGAAATCTCCATCATTGACCCCTGAAAATATCCTCCATACTACAATAACCTCCTCTAATTCTTGTGGATCAAACTCAAGCTCACTACCTAGATTTGAAGATTTTTTTTTTTTTTTTTTAACGTAGTTAATAATTTTTTTTTAATGGTATGTTTTTTGGTGGGGTGAATTATATTTAAATTTTTTTCAAAATTTTTCAATTTTTTATATTTGTCTAGTCGGGTATAATGTAAATGTATAATTGTTTTTACAAACGGTTGAAAAAAGTCACAAAAAACAAAAAATAAAAAAATACTAAAAAATCTATATCCAAACAACACCTACAAACTTGGAGGAAAAATTAGTTAAGATTTGCCAAAATAGCATATAATCATTGGAGTATCATTGCTATAATTTGACAAAATAACACTATTTATTGCCAAATTATAACAATAACAATGCTATTTTAGCAAATACCATTGGAGATGCTATTAGGGATTATTTAAGATGATCTAAATAAGTAAATTTTTTGATTTTTTATAAAAAGATGTGCAAAAAAGTAGAGAGGTGATATGACCCAAATAAATGTACTTATCTAAAAAAAGATTAAATACAAGAAAATAATTCTTATGATTTTTTTTTAATAAATTTATTAGGCACATTCATCAAAACAGACGGAACGTTAATCTTTTATTCTATTAATTCCCTTGAAGAATATTCTTAATTTTAGATAATAATCTCGTCCTCAAAAATGGTGTATTGAGAAATGCTCTTTCCTAGGACGCTCAGAGCAATGTCTAAGCAGTAGTAATGGTGGGTCATGTTGTTTGTTTCGATTGAGGTGTGTGGAAATGAAACTAGGGCTGGTGATGAGAGAGTACCATGATTTGCAGACGCTTGTGCATCGAATGAGGGTTTTGATGGATAGTGTTGGGAGGATATTACGAATCCACACTTCTTTAGGTAGATAGTCTGACATTTCTTCTTCTTCTTCACCTATCGTTTGCACACACAGATGAGAGAAACCTCTGCCTTACTTTATTAGGGCTAGATTGGCGCCAAAATGTTTAACTTACGCTATGAAATGTTTATCAACCTCAAGCCATTTTTTTTCCTCCATACATAGTGTAAAACTAAAAAATCACGTTGATCGGATATCGATATCTATGTGATCAAATCAGTTTTGTATAAAAAATAATAGACGGTGAATAAATTAACGGTTGAAAAAAAAAATTGATTTGATCACATAACTATCGATATCCGATCAACGTGATTTTTTACAAGCATATAGCACTCGAAGAGTTCTACACATTGAACGGTTCAGATTTTCAAAACGAGACCCGTGATGGGTCCCCATGGGTCTAACAACACGGTCCAGTCCGATGGTGGACTGGACCAAAGCCAGACCCTTTTGGAAATTATTAGATAGTTTTGGGTGATCTTTAGTTTATCAAAAAGTTTAGGAGTACATAGGGTAGAACATAGAAACTAAACACAAAAACTGTGCACTGGTCGTTTGTTCGGACGATTGAATAGAGCTTGTCGATCGTAGCTATCATTGTGTCTTTCGGTCATCCTAGCAGTTGTTCGGGTGGACGACCGGTGAACAGTTTTTTGTGTTTGGCTTCTGTGTTCCATCCTCTATGTGTGTAGCATTGCTATTCGTTTATTAGACTAAAGTGGAATAAAAATTTATTCAATCAAAGGCTGTGTTTGGTGTGGAATTTTAAACATGATTCTACATTCATATTTGAGTGTGGTATTTGGATATAACTTTCAAAAATTGATTCCACACCCACTGGCGAAAACACGTCTACTTAGTCATCCTTCCGGACGTCCAGCCGATTGACCGGAACAATATTCGTGTTTTTTTTTTTTAAATTTTTTTTTACACTTGTTATTTTTATATTTTAAATAAAAAATATTTTCGGAATTTTTTAAATTTTTTATGAACTTTGAATAGAATTTTGGGTTGTGTGTTTGGTTATGAGTTGTAAGTTTTTTAATCAAATATCATGTGTCACATCAAAAATTTCAAACTCAATTTAAAACTCTTTTCAAAACTCATAACTAAACAAATTTTCTATACTCCAATCATAATTCCAAAACTCACAAACTCAAAATACAACTTTATTCTTAAATCATAATTCTAAAATTCTACCAAACACTACCTTTATTTTTATTTTTTATTTACTAAAACAACGATAAAAAAATGCATTGGAATGAATCAAATGAAGTGTAAAATTATTATATGTCAGTGCTTACATGGTGCTGGTACTCTTGACAAGTGAAAAGTTGCAATCTACACTAATTAAGTCATTCTTTGTCTCTCATTTATTTAATAAAGATGAGTTATTATGTTTCACTCATAAAAATTTTCACTACACTATTGATTTGGACCATCACATAAGCAATGTCACATAATATTCTAGAAGTACTCGGCTATAATGGGAAAATTGATTCTTACACAAAATTTGTGACTATTATTTTTGTAAATAATACCCAAAAAAAAAATATTATATTTTAAAAAATAAAACATATTTTTATGTATTTATTTAGAAAAATAATGAATTACCCCTTACCTCTACTTGTGTTGCCCCACCACCTCCACCTTCGCAACCCCACTACCCCCAACAACTATTACCATTAATATAACTATTAAAGTATTAGTTTTAAGGTCATAAGAGCATCTCCAATGGTTTACTATTGGAGATGCCAAAGCTATAATATAGCAAGTGTGAGGCAAAAGTAGTTCTCCAATGGCAAGTTTTAGCAGCTGTTATATTTGACAAATGTCAAAACTTGTGTCAAATTTGACACAAGTTTTAGCAGCTGTTAAATGTGCCAATTCACCAAAACCAA